CTTCTAATATTAAAAAAACAAAAAATCAGCTGATTTTTTTCATAAGCTGCCTAAGTGGAACTCATGCTGAGGGTTAAAGAGTAGTAATTCTTTCACCAGTATATTGTAATTTCCATGCTTTTAGCTTAACACACTGTGATATAATGTTAAATCACTATTTCCCTCCAGAGTGATAAGACTTAACTAATTCAAGCATGTGGTGGTCAAAGAATGAGATTTTTGGACGGACGGCTTGGTGTCCAATCCAGGTTCACAGCTTACTCTAGTGTGATTGTGGGAAGGTATCTGAGCTTCCGCTACATAGTCTATAAAATGGGAATAATGATAGCAAATACCTATTCCCAAAAGTGGTCGATGGGATTAGAGGAGGGTATTATGTGAAAGTCGATTGATATCTCTAGAGGAGGGTATTATGTGAAAGTCGATTGATATCTCTGTATTTTTCATCACTCAGATGATGGTTTTGTTTTTAGGGTTATATAAGCATACAGTCCATTTTAAACAAGAAGTTATTTTTTTAAATGATATTTCTGCAGTGTCATAAACATGATTCATTTGATTTGTGACGTTTCCATAAAGCTTAAGTTTCAACCTTTTCAAGGTAGATACTAAAGACATTTTGTTATTTCCTTTAAAATTTATCTTCAAGCTGCACTCAGTCTGTGGTTGATCTGTCAGTCCCAGTGGCTTCAGATGGTACCTGTTCATGGATGACTCAGCCCAGACTTCACTACTGAACTCCACGTCTCTATCAAGCTTGAATCCATTCTCTTCTCTGAAGCCCCACCTTGTCTAGCACCTGCCTGGGTAACTGTAATAGCCTTTGACAGGTCTTCTTATATCCATACTCTCTGCAATGCAGGTAGAGGAGCTTTTTTGATATACACCAATACTTTATCTTTTAGTGGGACTGGCTGTTTACTCCCTGCCTCTAAGTAGTGTGAATCCAAATATTAAACAAAACCTTCAAATATGTCATTAAATAGTCAGTAAGTAGTAACTGTCTCAACTCTCTTCACTTCTGTTTGCCTATATTTTTTCCTTTTTAAGAGCTGGAAGGCTCTGTGTGGCACCTGGCTCTGGGCTCACACTGGTGTTTGGCATATTTATGTTCCTTTCATCTTTTATGTTTAGAGGCACCTGCTGTTGGTGTCTGTGCTCAGTTGTGTGTGATTTTCTCTTTGTTGTACTTTCTTTAAATGAGTGCATGATTGAACCAGGATTCTTAATGCTGGGCCCCTCAAATTCCTTTTGAAAACAGAGTATAAATAAATACCCAACTCATGAACTCAACCTGGTGATTGCAATGAAGCCTATCAACCAAAATACAGACGTTGGTTATAAAACAAAAACAGATCTAGATAGGTCAGCCTAAGAGACTGAAAATATTTTGGCTTAGGTTCTTCCTTTTCTGTTAATGTATGGGAGAAGAAAAGTGGATTTCCTGCTTCTGCCATTTGCAAGTGATTTTTCAATTTGAAATGAATTAGTATAAAAAGAATATTCATTCTGTATCTTTAGAATTTGGCTTGTCATTTAAAAAAATAATTGGAGATTGATTAATAATCTCTAGCCAATTAAATGCTTGGATGACTTATAAATTTTTTATTTTTTTTTCTTTCCCGTTGCCGTTGAGTCAATTCCAATTCATAGCAACCCTATAGGACAGAGTAGAACTGCCCCATAGGGTTTCCAAGGCTGTAATCTTTACAGAAGCAGATTGCTACATCTTTCTCCCGTGGAAAGGATGGTGAGTTTGAACTGCTGACCTTTCAGTTAGCAGCCGAGCACGTAACCACTGCGCCACCAGGGCTCCTTATTTTTTTTCTTTAAAACCGCATAAAAACACATTTCTTGAGAATGCCACATTTGTCATATGTTGGTTTATTTTATTATTTAATTTCTGATGTCCCGGTCATATCCTGTCTAGGTATTACCCTGGTACTGAATGTTGCTGAAAGGGATAAAAAAATAAGCTAGCAATTGAGTCTAGTCTGGTGGATGACCTCTTTCTAAAACATTAAAAAATTTTACCAATATGTTTCTCAAATACTAGAGGGATCACTGTTGTATAACTTGACAAAATATAACTCTTTAGATCACATAGTAGATATGTGATAAATATTTAAAGTATATTTGGAAAGTTTCTAAAATTGAAAACAAAACGTTTAAACTAAAATTTCACCTGCTGGGGGAGAGGGTGTATGGAAAGCTGATTGTGAACACACTGTCCTAAATCCTTGAGTTGGCATTCCTGAGTTGGCCAACCCCAGGTCACCTAGATGTGGCAGGGAGATGTCCTGGGTTCCAGCTTCACATTCTCTGGTTGCTTTTTTAAAAATCTGGCAATGCCTTTCCATTTTTTAAAACCAATTCTTAAATGTATTCCAGGAAAAATAGAGAGATGTATTAGCTCAATATTGACATGAAGAAAAATAACTAGAAATTACTTTGACACTTGGGACTGGTGGGTTGAGGATCAGAACTTGAAGTTTGCTGCTCACACATCTCTTGGGCTACTTCTTCCTAAAACTACTGTTGACATTAACAGATACACAGTTGTTGGAAGGATGGTATTAATAGCCTTTTTGATGTATTTGAGAAGTTCTGTATATGTGGTCAACAGGATAGTTCATTATGCAGTAGCCAGGTATCTCATGCTGGGTTCTCGAGAGAAGCAAAACCAGTAAAGTGTATAAGTATATATAGAGAGTGATTTCTATCAAGGACATGGCTTAGGCATTTGTAGAGGCTGGAACTTCCCAAGTCCTTGGGTCAGGATAGAGGCTTCTCCTGATTCATGTAGCTGCCCGGGCTGGCGAACCCAAGGTCGGCAGGTCAGAGAGCAGGGCTCTTGCTCACAGGCAGCGAAGATCTACGAATCCCAAGATCAGCAGGCAAGGCGGCCGGTAAGCTGCTAGCTCAAGTCCCAAGAACCAGAGGTCAGATGAACAGAAGTCAGCTGCAGGGTCTAGAGCAAGCAAAAGCCCACAAGCCCTGCCAGAATGTCCACTTATATCTGATACAGGACATACACCCAAGGAAGCTCCCTTTCAACTGATTGGCTGCTTACAGCAGATCCCATCATGGAGGTGATCACATTATATCGCATCTCATCATAGAAGTGATCACAACATCATACAACTGCCAAACCACTGAGAATCATGGCCCAACCAAGCTGACAACACAGCCTTAGCCATCACACCAGGATTAGCCCTTTTTTAATGATTAAGCACCAAACATGTCAGTGTGAGCCTAAACATCTTGGCCATATAAACAGAGTAGCAGAAATTGAGGTATAGGATAATCAAGGCCAAAGCTGTAGGCCATATTTTAAAGCATGAAAACTCCGAAACAAACACTAAGAACATGAAAAACATAAAAGCAAGTGTTTGAACTTCAAAGTATTAAAAACAAGTACAGTTGGCCTTGTTTATTGGCCATTGTAGAGAAAGGATATCTTTGTGGCAGATACATCCTCATCTTTTCTAGGAAAAACCTGATCTCCGATATTTATTTTTGTATTTGGAAAAGTGTCACCATAGGCATTTCTCATGAGTGTAAAATTCTACCAGAAAACTATCCATGTATTCAAAATAATTTTTTACAAAACAGAAATTTGTCATTTGAATACCAGAACTTTTAATCTCTTTTATGTGAGACTTGAAAGAAAATATACTCTACCGTTTTCTTTGGAGGACTTCTTAGCATGATTTGATCTTTTGTGATGACTCAGGCCATACTTTATAATAGAGTTTGGTAATTGGTGGTCTTGAAGGGGTTGAATAATGTTTGGAGGAGGGCATACTAGAGGAGGTGAGGTGGAAGACTAAGGAGTGGTGATCTGAGAGTGAGTGGGATGCTCAGAATTGAAGTTTTAGAGGTGATACATTTATTGAGGATGACAAGGTCTAGGACAGGGGCTCTCAACCTGGATACCTATGAGACTCACTGGAGAACTTAACAGTATACCAGTGCCTGGACCCTACCCCAGTATTCTCAGAGACATAGGATCCTTCCAGCTTTTGACTTCACCATCCCCCATTTGTGGCCCTCTTCATTATGGTCCAAAATGGAGCTCCAGCATTTTCATCGACATTCTAAACAGTGGCATAGTGGAAAGGAGGAAGGGACAAAGGACAAATCAACTGTCTTTTATGGTAAGTTCCTGGAAGCTGCCACATGATGCTTCTGCTTACATCCCATTGCCCAGAACCTAGCTGTAAGGGAGATTGGAATAGTCTTCATTCTGCATAGTCATATGCCTAGCTAAAAATTCTATTACTATGGAAGAAGGGAAAAAGGGATATTTTAAAACAAGCTAGCTTCTCTACCACAGAAGGGTAGTGGATTATATAGTCTAACAATACAATTTTTAGAGGAGCCGGTGGTTTTGAAGTTTGAAAGTGCTGATGGAGAGCAAGAAAGTTATCTCTTCCATCCCAGCCTCTCAAGTCCGTGCGTGTAAAAGGGGAAGCAGCCTCCAGTTGAGAAGGATGCATTTCACTGAGTGATTTCTTTAGGGGACAACCACATATCAGGGCAAGAATGGGAAATACAGAGAAGTTACGAATACACGTATAGGGGATTTTCTTGGAGATGACATTTTTTCACTACTCATCATCCCCCTCACGTCTTCCTTTTTTCCATAACCAGCATACATCCCGTTATTATAGTAGTCACTCCCTTGCAAATACCCTCAATTCCCTGGCACCTCTTTTCCTCCACAGTACTCCCAGAAAACCACTAACTCTGTATAACCTTAACTCTCCACATCTCCCGCATGAAATTGATGACTACAAAGCTCACTGAGTTTTCAGCATGGCCTGGCAGTCCTGCAACTTTTCTCTAGGATGTGCCATGTCCCACTTCTGAGAGGACCATGTCTTAAATATATAACTCCCACTCCACTCCCACTCTCTTCAACTGGTGACCTCATTTGATATTTCAATGGGAAAAAAAAAAAAAGAAGCAGCAGCACTCAGACAGGAATTCCCTCACTACCTGTCTCTGAACCCGTATTCTGTCTTCCTTCCTTTTACAGTAGCAGTCTCCCTGCTTCTGTGAAAGCCTGTTCTTTCTACTTTGTACACTCAAACCCATCCCTTATTGCTTTTTCAAGTACTTTTCTCCTGCAAATATATCTTATCTCTACTGGATCATTCTCATCAATATGCACACATGCTATAGTATATTCCATCTTTTAAAAGCACATAAATAGTCCTTGACCCCACATGCCTGTCAAAATCCTCCGCCATTTCTTGACTCTTCTTCACAGGAAAACTTCTTGAAACTATTTTCTACACATTTGCTGTCTTCAGTTCCTCTATCTCCTCCAACTCTTCATTCCTCTCCAACCTGGCTTCCATTCTCACTTTACTGAAAAAGATATTTCTAAGTATGCATTTTGTTTCCAAATACAACTGTTACTGTTCTGTCATCTTCTTACCTGACCTCTAAAGTAACATTCAACACACTTGTCTACCTTCTACCTAAATCAAATTTTCTCTTGTAGCTTCCTGACACCATGCTCTCCCTGGTTTTCTTGCTGTCTGATTCCTTCTTGTGGATTTTCGGTAATGGTCCTCTTTTTCCACCAAGTCTCTGAATGTGGAAGTACCCTGGGCCCCAGTCCTTAGTCTTCTTTGCTTTCTATAGTTTCATAAACCCTTCTGATCTTGCCGCTGAGCTGAAGACTTGTATCCAAATGCCTGCTTGGTGTGAGATGTGGAATCACCTTGCAGAAAGCAATTTGGCCTTTGTTCGTGGTTCTTTTGAGCTAGACCAACACTTGAGGCTAATGAGTGGGGGTTAACCAGACCAGAGGGGAGCACCGGGGTGTGCAGTGCTGACTAAGCCTCACAATGCATGATGTAATCTATCATGGCCATGTGGTGAGGCTGATAAGAGCCCTGAACACAGAGGGTCAGAGGACCTTCCTGGTTGGTGACCATGGACAGGAGAGGGTAGCGTGTACCTCTCTGGGATGTGCAATCTCCACACTGTGAACCCTCCCAGACTTCACCCTACGTATCTCTTTGTTTGTATTCTTTTTTAATGTATGTTAAAGTTGTTTTTGCAGGTATGGTGTTTCCCTTGAACTCTGTGAGTCATTCCAGCTAATTATAGGACCCAAAGGAGTAGTAGGGGCTGGCTGGTCTGAAGTGGAGAGAGTCATATGGACTCCTGAGCTTGTGGCTGGTACCCTGAGGGGGTAGAGGAAAACCCCAAGTTTGTGGCTAGTACCTGCTGACCTAACTCCAGGTGGCTAAGGTCAAAGCGAGGGGCTGCATGGGCAGCTGGGGTCTGAACTGAACAGGGAAGGGAAGCTGAGATTTCCACAGGACGCAGTTGGCATGTGGAGTGGGATTTGTTGTCTAACACACAATTTGGTGTCAGGAGTGGTGATCTAAGTCTCCCCAGACTGACATACCTACTTGGCATCTCCTCTTGGATGTTTTATAGGCATCTCAACCTCCACATGCCCAGACGGAACTCTTGGTTTCCCACCACATGCCTGACATCTATGGCAGCCTTCTCCATCTCAGTAAATGTCACCATCATCCACTAAGTTGCTGAAGTTAAAAACTTACATGAAATCTTTGGTTCTCCTTTTCCCTCTTCCTGCCACCACATCCAGTCAATCAGCAAGTTGTTCAGTTCTGCCTCCAAAGTACATCCTAAGTCCACATAATTCTCTCCATCACCACAGCTTCTACCCTAGCCCAAGCCACCATTATCTCCCACCTGCACTATTGCAGTAACCTCCGTGCTCCCACTTTTTCTTGTCATAATACAATCTGTAAGAGTGGCAGGGTAATCTTTAAAAATATAAATCTGGAAATTCAGTGTCTTCCCTTTGCACTAGAATAAAATCCCACCTTCTTATCATGGCCCATGTACATGATCTAATGCCTGCACACCTATCTGACCTTATTTGGTACCACCCCCACTAGAGACACACTGTGTGTCTTCAGCTTGGGGCCTTTGCACTTACTCTCTTGTTTCCTGAAGAGCTTTTCCTCACTGGTTACTTCTTATCACCCAGATGGCAAATGTCACCTCCCCATAGAAGCCTTCTTTAAAGTACTTCCCTCCCATTTCTCCTTATGTGTTTACTTGTCTGTTGTCTGCCTTATTCTATTGGAACTAATACTCCATGAGAACAGAGACTGTGGCCACCTTGTTTATCTCTGTATTCCCAGTGCTTAGAATAGTTAATAACCTCTAGTTGAAATGAAACAAATGTTTGTTGCCTGTCCAAATAAAAAAATGTTTGGAACATAGTTCAGTTTTTTGTCATATCATTTCCATTATTATCTTCTGTCATAATTATGACTGCCACCAAAAATAGTGACTTCCTGATTACTGTTTCTGAGAGCAGTAACTCTCTAGTTAACTATTTCTAATCCATGAGGGGCTAGGACAGTTAATTAACCTTTTTAAGGGTTGCATGTAAAGAATGGGAGAATTCAGAAGTAAAGCACATTAGCAAGGGGGCATTGTGCTTGCTACCTCCCAATCCCTGAGTCTTTTTTTACACAGAGATGTCCAGAAGCTGTCTTGCCCAGATCTTTATCATTCCAATCTTGCAGGAAATACAAGGTAAGGAGAACAGTTGGAGGAACTTTGAGCCACAGTGACTGGTTGTCAAAGTATGGAGGAAGGAGTGGCCTGAAAGGTAGAGAAGGGGTAACTGAGAAGGGTGCCTTCTTGCAAGTTCTTAGTGAGAAGTGGCTCTTGATAAACCTTTCTTCACTGCTCTAGGGAAAGGGGCTGGGAAGGGGGAAGATGAGTGTTCTCTTGGTCTGTGAGGTTACTTCTATAACATAGATTGACTTTTATCCTCATAAATCACCTTAATTCTAGACAGAGTTTTAGATAATGGTGTTTTAAGCAGAAGATTATTGCTTTCCTTTAAGGTTTATAAGTTGCTGTAAAGTAGAAGATAATACTACTCAAGGATTTTAAACCCAGTAATTAATTGAAAAAGAAAAAAACACTGTTCACTCATTACCTCATATGTGCCATGTAGTGTGTTGGCCCCCAAACCCATTGCTATCGAGTCAATTCTGACTCATAGCAACCCTATAGGACCGAGTAGCATTGTCCCTTAGGGTTTCCAAGGAGCAGCTGGTGGATTTGAACTGCCAACCTTTTCATTAGCAGCCAAGCTCTTAACCACTGTGCCACTGGGTCTCCAGTATATTGTCAGGGAAATGGAAATGAATGGGATGTGGCCCCTCCTCTCAAGAAACACGGGGGTTTAGGATGAGGGACATAGTCAACAGATGTGTGAACAACTAGCTACTGTATACTGTTTCCAGGACTGTTACAAGATATGTGTAGAGTACTAAGGGAGTACATTGTGATAATGATTTCTGATGCTTCTGAAGACAAAATCTCCTTGGATGTTGCCGAAGATGGATGCTACACTGAATTTCAGTCACTAGTGGGTCTGGAGGTAAAGAAGTTCCTGTGTACAAGTTTTTGTTGTACATTTGGTTTTTTAGTAGCTGTGTCAATACATCCATCTTTTCTGTGACCTAAACGTCTTTTATTTTTTCTTCCTCTAGTGGTTTCTAATTGCCAACAGATCTTACAAAGTCAGTGCAGCAAGCTCATTTTTCTTCAGTGGTGTGTTTGTGGGAGTTATCTCTTTTGGTCAACTTTCAGATCGCTTCGGAAGGAAGAAAGTCTATCTTTCAGGTAATCTATTATAGTGTTCATTAACTGAGTAAGAGGACTTATTACTTCCTTAAGGTTCTCAGGGAACTAAATAAGGGGAACTCGTAGTTCTACTCTGACAACCGTGGGGTGTCCATGAGCTGGAGTCGACTTGATGGCAACTGGTGCAGTAGTTAAGAGCTCAGCTGCTAACCAGAAGGTCAGCAGTTCGAATCCGCCAGCTGCTCCTTGGAAACCCTACAGGACAGTTCTACTCTGTTCTATAGAGTCGTTATGAGTCAGATTCAACTTGACGGCAACGGGTTTGGTTTGGGTTTTTTTTTTTTTTTAATGGTATTTGCTTAAGGTTCTCAGGAAATTGCCACTTGGAGACAGAACTAATTTTTCTCACATTGACAAGAGACAAAACTGCAGCAGAGTTCATTCTGGCCAAGCATGTTAGTGGCCAGCACACCTGGTCAAAGCCAGATATTTGCATTGTACACTTTTCATAAATGATGGTGCTTTCTGCAACCTCCAAACTCCAGTTTATGCCTTGTTTCTAAGGAGAAGAGTCAAAGATTGAGACAGTCTGCTAGATCCATTTCCTTATATCTCTGTAGATTCATTGCAAATGAGCTCTACAGGGCTCAGCATGGTTTTCTCAACAAGCTCTGAGTATGAGGTAGGATTTTCAAGTTCCAGCATTATTGTGAATAACTTAAAATTGTGATGGGCAGAAATCAACTTGTAACAAAGAAAGAAAATCTCAATTTTTCTTTATTGTTTTTAAGAGAAACTAAAAAAAAGACTAGCTCAGAAAATTTAAATTTGCAAAGGTTCTTCTTTACAAACTAGTGAATATTATTTATTACTTTCATCAAATGCTGTTTTGCCTCTGGATAATGAATACTGTTCTTCTCTTGCTAGGTTTTGCTCTTGACATCTTATTTGCTATTGCAAATGGATTTTCCCCCTCATACGAATTTTTTGCAATAACTCGCTTCCTGGTGGGCATGATGAATGGAGGGATGTCACTGGTGGCCTTTGTCTTGCTAAACGAATGTGTGGGCACCGCCTACTGGGCACTGGCAGGTACTGCGTAAATCCATGCAAATCTGAAGATGGTGAGCAGCTCCAGAAAGTCTTGTAGGGAGCCATTTTAACCCTAGAGTCTGAAAATGCATTTGAATTCGAGTGGCTCTGTCCAACAGTTAGACTTGTTTTCCTGAGTTTGTTTTATATGACTGTGAATGAATCATTTTATTCACGTTCTTCTGTTCAAAGTCTCCCCTGGTGTCTGCCTCAGAGATAGACGGCTTGCCACCCACCTCAGGGACTGCCTACAGATAATTGTAGAGAGTAATTTCCTCAGGACAGCATTGACTGCCTTTTACCTTAAATTAAAAATGAGTGCTGAGATGGGAAATAACGAAAAACTCCTTTTTCTGAAGCCTTCTTATTATATTTTATTAAATCCTTGTTTCATTGCCTTTTCTTTTTTTTACAGTTTTCTTTAAGACAGGAGATAGTATTATTGTAGCATTTCTTTACTGATTCTTACTTTCCCAAATTGAACCCATATTCTTTATTTTTGACCATCCCATCATCTTCTCAAGAACTACATAGGTAGTTCATTTATTTAACTACCTATGTAGTTCTTGAGAAGATTGAGAAATGATAGGGCCAGTGATGGGCCAAATGAAGGACTGGTTTTTCCAAAGTGCAGTGGGAAGCCAGTGGGGAGTATTAAATAGAGGTGTGATATGATCTTATGTACGGACTCTGGTAGATGAGTGGAGAACAGATTATAGAGGAGTGAGAGTAGAAATTGAGGGATCGTTCTGGAGGCTGTTGTGGTTGACTGTATGAAACCTGATGGTGGCTTAGACAAGGTGGGAGTTAGTAGGAATAGAGGAAAGAGGGTGCACTGGAGCTGGACTTTGGTGGGACCAAGACTTAGTAAAGGATCACCAATGACAAGTAGCCCTGTTCTTGGAGGCCAGGTGCTATTTGATGCATGGTAATGCATCCATAATAGCTATTGATTATCTTACATTTGCAGGGAAATCACACTGTCCCCATTCCCTTACTTATCAAACCACATGTTCTGATTTGGAGTTCTGAAAAGAGGGTCGCTGAAGCTGTTGCTTCAGCTCTCCTTTTTGGCTCCCCTTTTCCTCGCTAGGGCCAACAGTATGCAAGTCATTATTTTTTGTTATAGAGTGATAATCTGTGGACAAGAATCAAGGAGAACATTTGGTTTACAGGATTGCTCATTGTAGACAGTTTTCGTAAGAAAATGAACCAAGCCCTGTTGTTATGGGAGACCCACAACAATGGCTCTTCCATAGAAGGGAGATGTGACAGAGAAATGGTGCAGAGTGCTGGCTCTCCAGTCACATAGACCTAGGTCCAAGTCCTGGCCCTGCTGCAGGCATCCCTCTATCCTTAGACAGCTTCACTTCACCTGTCTGAGCTATTTCCTCCCTGTGGTGTAAGGCTGATAATGGCACCTGCTTTATGGGACGATGTAAAAGACTTAATGCTCAATAAACGGCAGCTGTTATTTCTGGGTGGTACAGGTGGTTAATGTGCTTGGCTGCTAAGCAAAAGGTTGAAGATTCTAGCCTACCCAGAGATGCTTTGGAAGAAAGGCCTGGAGATCTACTTCCAAAAAAATTAGCCATTAAAAACCAAATGGAGCACAGTTCTACTCTGACACACATGGAGTCGCTATGAGTCAGAATCAACTCGACAGCAGCTGATTTTATTATTACTACTAGTAGCGATAGTAGCGGTTATAGAAAGAATTTCAGAGATACAGAATTTGCAGATATATTGGACAAGCCAGTGGAGTTTAGTACCCATACAAGTTTTTATTTCAAAAAAGCACAGGATTTTTTTTTACGATCCCAAGGTTTATTTTTTTTGCATCACTGTGCTGACAGAAATCCACTTTCCATGGAGCTTATGTTCTATTTGGGAAAGACAGACAAGAAACAAGTACATATAAAAATGTTACACGTCCAATGGTGATAAATTGAGTAGGGAATGGCAATGGGGAGAACTGCGGAGTGAGTTGTGATTTAAAATAAGGATTTTAGGGACAGCCTCTCTGATAAAAATAAAGTCCCTGTATTGCAATAACCTCATGACCTAACAACCCCCATATGGCAAAAAAACTTCGAAGCCTCAGCCACAGGTTCAGGCAGATGTCTGTGCAATGTCCCATGCAGAAAGCATTTGAGCAGACCCTTAGAGTTAGTTCTTTGTGTCTAGATGTGATTTCTGTTTTTCATCTGTCATTCCTCCATTTTCACTAATTTGCTTACCTGTCTTCTAGTTTTATCATCCGATGTGTGATATTTGTGTAGATTTTTCTTTTCTGCTCTCCCTCTTACACTTGCCAGGGTAGGGCTGACCTCTTGCAAGAAAGGAATTGGCTCTGTGACTTGGGTTGGAAATGGTGCTGCAGATGGTGCTTTCCCGAGTAACAGGTTTCTTTTTTCTTGAATTAGGATCCATCAGTGGCCTCTTCTTTGCAGTTGGCATTGCCCAATATGCCCTGTTAGGATACTTCATCCGCTCGTGGAGGACCCTGGCCGTTCTGGTTAACCTTCAGGGAACAGTGGTCTTCCTCTTGTCTTTGTAAGTAGTTTTTCCTTTTAGAGTTTTCATGTACTAAGTGGAAGGAATGTCTTAAGAGGATATGGGTCAATGAGCAGCGTTATTCCCTTTCAGGAGCTTGCCTGAACTGACTTTGGTGAAGAACTAAATTCTGCAAGTGCTCCAATGCTTGGCAGCTCCTGGGAAGAGGAGATGCTTAATTAATTCAGAATGTAGGTATCCCTTGTTTAAAGTAACCTCTCAGTAGACTGCATTTTAACCTTCCAATTGTTGATGCAGCGGACCAATTTCTTTTTTAACCCAGAGCCTCAAGCTTAAAGATCTTAGGCTGCATCAGGTCACGTGTTAGGTATGATATTATAGAGCAATATAGTCATTTTAGTATATAGTGGCAGTTAGTCATCCTACAGAAAAGTATCATTTCTGGGACTCTAAAGGTGGACAAGAGAAGATTCTCAGATATGGGGGAAGTCCTAGGAGTGCATGGACTCAGAGTAGTAACAGGATGAATTCCTGGTCAGAGCAGGGCTCTTCAGAGGGCTCGCCTAAGATGTCCCATGTGGGACTATAAAACACCTAGTGTTACATTGTGAGCCACCAACATAGTTTTTAATGTGGCTTACGAAGAGTTTTTCTCCCCTGAGGTATCAGACCTCTTATTTTAATCATTAAAATCTTCAGGATGAAGAAAGTGTTCAGCCAATGGTGTCATTTTTTTTTTCTGTGTGATATAGTGAGGGATACCTGTAGTAACACTTTGATTCAGATAGCTCTTAAATTTATTAGCTCTTTAATTCAGATTCTACTAATTGAGATTTGATGGTGGGCTGAACTGAAGTTTGTTTTCATGCTGTCTTTGAAAGCAAGAGCATTGTTAAGTACAGATTTGAATACAGTAGAAATAGTTAACCTGTATAAAAAAAATTTATTAAATGCCTATAGTTATATGGAGTGAGGTAATTTTATTAGAAAGCAAAATGGACAGTATTTTATTAGCTTGTATATTGTAAATATTTGGAAATAATAAATAGGTACCTAGTATAGTACCTTGAGTTAATGACCATTCATGTAAATATCTGTTGAATAAATGAATTTTCTTTTGAAGTATTTTAATACATCTCATACTTTTCAGTTCCGTCTGAATCTCCTCTTTCCTTCAATAGCAGTGTGGTTTTAATGGATGATCTGAGCTATTCTGCTTTTCTTTTTCTGAACGTGTAGTCTGAGTTTGTTACTACTCCCCCCCACAAAAAAAAATCAAACTCATTGCCATCTGGTCGATTCCGACTCATAGTGACCATATAGGACAGAGTATAACTGCCCCATAGGGTTTCCAAGGAGCACCTGGTGGATTCAGACTGCTGATCTTTTGGTTAGCAGCTGAATACTTAACCAGTGCACCACCAGGGCTCCCGTTACTGCTCAGTGCTAGGAAATTCACACTATGAAAAACAGAAAATGGAAAAGAAGCACATAAATGTTAAATGTGTACGCATTCCATAATTCCATTAATGTAAGGCTCCCCACAGCCTGCCTCCAATTTATCTTTCCTAATTTTCTGCTGCTCCATTTCACTTAGCCTTTGTTCTAGGCAAACTAAGCTGCTTGTTGTTCCCAGTGGGCACCTTATGCTTTTCTGCTTCCGGGCCTCCTACTCATGCTGTGTCTGCTCTTTCAACACCCTTCTCTCCATTTCCTCTTGTTTAATTAATACTCAGCCTTCTCAGTTTGCTCAGTGCTGTCCCCTCCATAAAGCCTTGCCCCCAGCTATAAATCATTCACTTTCTCTCCTGAAATTCCGTAACACTTAACCCGGACCCTTCGAGTGGTACTTCTGTGTCTGCCTCATACTGGAGCCACCTCTCTTTCTAAACCAGAACTCTCCCACAGCAGGCTCTTCTTTCTCTTCATGACATTTCCCCCAACACCAAAGCCCAGGGCCTTCCACAGTAGATGCTTCATATGCATTGGACGAATGTTGGCCCAGAAACATTTTGGAATACCTTTAGAGTCAGCCCATCAGTAACACAAGACAAAGTCAGATTATTTTAGAGTCAACCCTTGGTTTCCACACACCCCCCTCCAACCAGGAACGTTCTCTTATAGCTTTAAAATTCCTCATTTTCACCATACTTGATTTTGAGTAGTTTTGTTTATTTTCTAAAAATCTGTACCTCCTTAATCGACACAGATTTACCACCATTAAAAATATTCAGAGAGCATTTTTGAGCAGGAGCAACATTGTTAAATGAGCATTATAGCTTCTGTAGGTGACTGTGGAGCTACGCAGAGAGTAGCGTGTCTTTGAAAGTTTCAGAGGCCTGCTTTGGCATGTAGGTGAGCCTTTGTATCAGTAGGCTTATTGGCCTAGTCAAAATGAGGAGAAATATGAGGTTCGAAGTTTGCACAATCAAGACAAACTCTTTCCCAAGTGGAAATAGTTTTATCAGCTCATCAGAGTTACATTTCCAAAGCCTGGATAGCTCTCAAATATCACCTTTATAAATTTCGTTATACATTTTTAAGGAATTTCTGTCACTTATAAATAGTTCTGAAAACACAGGGTGGCTTAAAAGGAGGGGAAATGGCTTATATTACTCAAAGATACTGACTGTTAATATTTTGGCATATTTGCTTCTTGGCTGTCTTCTACTGCTCCTAATCCTCCTCAGTTTTAATTTTTTGGATCATATACTTTCTATAACATTTCTTTCACTTATTTTTCTATCCAAAGGTTATCTTTATATATTCATCACCAGTAGTCTTCTTTTAATTTTTTTTTTTCAAATTTGTATTTAGACTTAATCAGAAAGCTTTACATAGTACCTCATGTGGCCCGCAGTTATTGAGCCTGTCGATCCCATTGATGATCAGCAGACCTAACTTCCAACAGGATACCGTTTTACTTGATTATTCCCTTCAGCGGCAGTGATAATAATCAGATGACAATCAAGAGTAAACAAAGGGATTTTTCAGAATGTCGTAGATGACCTTTGTTCCCGCTTTTGTTATCAATCAAATGTGCATGAGTATTCTCTCCTTACTAGCAAAACTCCTGGGAAAAATCTGACCTTTTTGTTTCCATTGTCTTCCCACTTGGCTATCACAGCACTTGGTACAAAATGTAAGTGCTCAGTAAGTGGTTATTGGCAGACTGACTGTACATTAAGGTTCCAGATTCTGTAGTGTTTATTGCTATTTTGGTATGCTTGCTTAAAGGCACAGCGAATTCTAAAAGGTATGTTAAATAGCCAGTATTATGTATCCAGGTTTTATTTTAAGAGCCCTGGTGGCACAATGGTTAAGTGCTGAGTTGCTAACCGAAAGGTCGGCAGTTCGAATCTTCCAGCCGCTCTTTGGGAGAAAGACGTGGTAGTCTGCTTCTGTAAAGATTACAGCTTGGAAGCCCTATGGGGCAGTTCTGCTCTGTCCTGTAGAGTTGCTGTGACTTGGAATCGACTCAACCTCAGTGGGTTTGGTTTTTTGGGAAGTTTTATTTTATGCAAATGAGATCATATTAGATCAAAAGATACTTGGTGTGTTTAGTAAACAAATCTTCCATGTTCCTACCATAGTTTGTCTTTGAAAAGTCCTCTAAAAGTACACGCAGAACTGTGAAGAGATGAAAGGATACATAATATCTAAGTCTTGACACTTTGAAGATATCAGTGACAATATAAAACCTTGACACTTTATAGTTGTATTAGAAAATAACTTTTTTTGTAACTAAAAGTAACTAGAAGTAACTAGACAGGTATCTTAGTTATCTAGTGCTACTATAACAGAAATACCACAATGTAACAGAGATTTATTTTCTCACAGTTGGGAGGGTAGAAGTCTGAATTCAGGGTGCCAGCTCTAGGGGAAGGCTTTTTCTCTATGTCGGCTCTGGGGCCAGGTCGTTGTTCCTCGGTGATCCTCGTGTGGCTTGGCATCTGTCTTCCCCCATCTCTGCCTGCTTCTCTATGCCTAATTTGCTGTTTTATATCTCAAAAGAGATTGACTTAAGACACACCCTACACTAATACTGTCTAATTTTCATAACAAAGAAAACCCATTCCCAAATAGGATTATAACCATTGATATAACAAAAACAAAAAAAAAACAAACCCATTGCCGTTGAGTCAGTTCTGACTCATAGTGACACCATAGGACAGAGTAGAGCTGCCCTATAGGGTTTCCAAGGAGCAACTGGTGGATTTGAACTCTGATCTTCTGGTTAGCAACTGAGCTCTTAACCACTGTGCCACCGGGGCTTCCCACCACTGGTATAGGATTTACAACACATACTTTGGGAGGGCACAATTCAATCCATAACAATACCTTTTATTCTTTAAGGTCTTTGGGGATCAGGAAATATCCTCAGAGCATATTAAAGCTAGTGTGTCAAGGTGATTTGAGTGTTTTGAAGCAGTAAACACTCAAAAGTGGTGAAAACCCTAGGGACTCCAACGGTCCAATCCGTTGTGCATGGGGTCACCATGAGTCGGGAGCCAACTTGACGGCAGTTAACAACACAACAGCAAACACTCGAAAGTGGCCAAGATGTGATAAACACTGTTAATTTTTAAGTGTAATCTTGACATAATCCCTGGTGTTGTGTGTCATCGAGTCAATTCCTACTCATCGAGTCAATTCCGACTCTTAGCAACCCTATAGGACAGAGTAGAACTGCCTCATAGGGTTTTTCAAGGCTGTAAATCTTTACAGAAACAAACTACCATGTCTTTCCCCGAGGAGCTGCTGGTGGTTTCAAACTGCCAACCTTTTGGTTAGCAGCTGAGTTCTTTAACAACTTTACCACCAGAGCTCCTATATAATCCCTGCCTCCTGAGTAACATCACTACTCTTTTTTTAAATTTATTTTTTACGGTAAGATAATAAAGATTTGTATTTTCTTTGTGAGACTGTTTTAGAACTTTTAAAAAAACCCAGTGTATCTAGGGTGTGATTCTAACAACACTCATCTAGGATTTAGAGCCATATCTTTGACCTGTGTTTTATGAAGGACTCATGTTACTCCGTATTATAGACTTAATAACTTACCATTCACATATTAAATTTTAAAACTTTAAACTTCAAAAATTAATGCATACTGTTTACCTTTTTAATTTTTTTGCTGCTATTGAAAACGTATTCTTGAATTTTTATACATAAAGTAGACCACTGGTTAATGCTGACACACTGTTGAAAGTAGCCCTCTCTCTCTCATACGTGTCACTGGGAAAGTCAAGCTTGCAACCTAACTGGGATCTCGTTGTAGGGAGGGAACCCACGTACTGAGTAGGTGTTTTTTCTCCTTTCTATGCACGTGTACCTATATGAATATACAGCCTTTAATGACGTCTCTTTCAGATTCATTCCTGAATCACCTCGTTGGTTATACTCCCAGGGTCGACTGAGTGAGGCCGAAGAGGCTCTGTACCTCATTGCTAGGAGGAACCGTAAGCTCAAATGCACCTTCTCATTAACACACCCAGCCGACAGGAGCTACAAGGAGACTGGAAGTTTCCTGGACCTTTTCCGTTATCGGATCCTCTTGGGGCACACTCTGATCCTGATGTTCATCTGGTAATTATATATAAGGGGCATTTTGTTGATCTTCAATAACTCAGGTTGCTACAGGTATTGATAATCTGTTCCTTCTTCAGAGTTACGGGAAAATTTACCTCTTTTGTGATCATAAGGTGGTTTTCCCAGAAACAATGCCCCTTTCCCTTCGTACCTGGTGTTGGGCACACCTCAAGCCAGAGATCATGGTCCTTGTTGGGCAGGTTTCCTGATGTCGGTAGATGTCAGAAGCACATATTTGCACATGAGATATTTGATATATATATTTAAGCAAAAAGAAGAAGAAGAAGAAAAGCATACAAGAAACAGGAGTTTTTAAATAGGACTTTAAAGATACGTACCTTTGGTTTTGGCACTAAGCAGTCTGATAGTACATTCTAATGGCAGCACTCTGTGCTGCATTTTATGTGGCGTTCCCACTCACTAATTCACCAGGATGGGCTATATGTTATCCTTTGTATAAGGGGGATCCTGGGAGTTAGAAGTGATGGACTCAAAGCCACATACACAAATCGTGAACCAACAGATGAGCAATTTCAGAATCTAGTTTTCTAGTAGTTTAGCTTGTTCCAACCTACCTCTCATTCTCAGCATTAATATAAGTTTCACTGAATGGTTCAAGTTGGTTCTGCTTAACAAATGAAGTTGTGAAGAGGGGAAATGGATGGGCAATATATATATAATTTGTGGAGTGCCTGTGTGTTTCAATATTGTACATTCTGCTAAAGCGCAATCAATGTTATTTGGTCTAATATTGGGCATGCACGTCTTACCTACTGGCCTAAGGGACCGTTGTGCTGTGATTTATATAGATTTGCCATAAAGGCTAATGGAAACCTACATTTTCATGTGGGAATACAGGAAAGTGGTTTTACATTAAAGTGATCTTATGTATAAACCTAAAGAGGACAGTAGATTGAGAATCAGAAGCCGCAAAGATATTTTCCTATATCGTATTTCTCTTTTCTTACCCACGTGCACTAGCTGCCATCTGTATGGTGAGGAGCCATGTCACATGACTCCTGCTTTCCTCACAGAACCAGCACAGGACTGGGAATATCACAGATGCATAATAAATATTGAATGAAGGATGGAAGCTTGGAAGCATGGGGTTTAACAGAGCCTATGAAAGCCCTGGTGGCGCAGTGGTTAAGTGCTCCGCTACTAACTGCAAGGTAGGTGGTTTGAACCCACCAGTCGCTGTGTAGGAGAATGATGTGGCAGTCTACTTCTGTAAAGATTTATAGTGTTGCAAACCTTATGGGGCAGTTCTACTCTGTCATACAGGGTTGTTATGAGTTGGAATCATCTCGACGGCAGTGGGTTTGGTTTTATGGTTTATGAAAGCCAAACCTGATAACACAGCATAACCAAAAAAAAAAAGCCATTGCCATCAAATCGATTCCAACTCATAGCAACCCTATAGGACAGAGTAGAACTGCCCCATAGAGTTTCCAAGGAGTAGTTGATGGATTCAAACTGCCAACCTTTTGGTTAGCAGCTGAGCTCTTAACCACTGCACCACCAGGGCTCTGATAACACAGCATAGGAGGTACTATTTTGAGGTTCTGTCTATTCTAAAGCAGATATTTACAAAGTATATTCAGGTACTTAACCTGTTGCCATAGAGTCGATTCCGATTCATAGCAACTCTATAGGACAGAGTAGAACTGCCCCATAGGGTTTCCAAGGAGCATCTGGTGGATTCGAACTGCCAGCCTTTTGGTTAGGGGCCGAACTCTTAACCACTACACCACCAGGGTTTCAGGTACTTAGGGCTCCATAAAACTCTGCATTTGCATATCATGGAGACATTTGGTCAAACCATCTGCTTTGGAGGAAGACCTACTTGTTGAAGATTATTTATTCCTTTTTAATTTTGTTCAATTTTTTTTTTTCTAGGCATAATAACTTTTGGGTTCTGGCCTTCAGGGATTAAAACAGACAAACAAACAAGAAGCTAGATTTAGAGCCAGTGAGATAGCGCCTGTTTATTTTATACTTCACACAGCCAAAGGAGCTCTTCTCCAATAAACTTCTCCCCCTGGGCTCAGAATGATAATAAAGACAGTGTCCTTCCACATAGTGCTGTTCCTTTTGAAGATGCTATAAAATTCTAAAATCTTTTCTGTGGATCTGTCATTGAAGAAGGCCTTAACTGGGGAGTAAAATTATACCTCTGTGTTTAACATCTGTTCCTTTGGTTATTTTCCACAATAATGCCACCTTCAATATTCTTCCGTGCCCTAACTCTACTGTTAAATATTATGCAAGCATTTTAAATTTTGTTTGGGGCACATAAAGAGAACTGAAATGCTTTTAATAGCTATGATTACAGGTCCCAATGACTTAACCGCCACCAAGGAGACTTTCAGAATAGAGGCCCAGAATAGGGCCTCCTTGCCCCATGCTCTGCCTGTTCTCCCTCACCAGCTGGTAACTCAGCTTCTGTATTGTCCTGAACTGACTTTGTGCATTCTTGCCCAGACTTAATACTATCACAGCTTGGTTTAAATAACTATGCATGTTTTCATGGCTAGAATTAATTCACTGGAAATTGTTTTAAATGCAGAGTTGTTACTGTTATTAGGTGCCATTGATTTCAATTGATAGTGTCCCCATGTGACAGAGTAGAACTGCCCCATAGGGTTTTCTAGGCTGTCATCTTTACGGGAGCAGATCTCCAGGTCCTTCTCCCTTGTAGTCATTGGGTGAGTTTGAACCGCCAACCTTTTGGTTAGCAGCTGAGTGCTTAACCATTACACCACCAGGTCTCCTTAAATGCAGAGTAGATGCATGCTAATACATACAATACATTAGGAAATAGCATTATGTAAGAGGAGGATCTCTACTGTAAATAGCAAGGATGTTTAAAATACTTTAGAAAACTGCGTGATTTAAATTTGTTTAGTCTGTGGTTTACATGCAAGGTGCCTGGGGGACAGGAAACACGTATAAGTCAGTGTCACCTTGTATCCCTGCACACAGTGTCCTGGCTGCAGCACTGCTCATTGTCCTTAGACAAGTGATAGCTTCACCCCAGTAAGAAGTAATGGGCAATATGTCGTCTCTGAAGCATTTACTAGAGAAGGATGAACCACTAACCAGTCCAGTTCCTGGGGTGTCTTCTTTCCTCCTCCCATGCCCCTCTCCTGGCATTATGGTAACCCTGCCCAGTTGCTGTTGAGTCAGTGCTGACTGATGGTGAGCCCATGTGTGTCAGCGTAGAAGTGTGCTTTGTAGGGTCTTCAGTGGCTGACTTTTCAAAAGTAGATCACCAGGTCTTTCTTTTAGGTCACCTCTGGATGGAGTCAAACCTCTAATCTTTCAGGCATTTGGCCCACTTTACCATTTTGTCAGAGATGGAAATAAAGGTTTCCCTTTCTGGTTTGATCCCATCATAGCCACAACTCATTGGATTTTTTCAAAGGAAAAAACTACAGGGAAGCAACTGAGAACCTCCCCATCATACACAACTTGTCAAACTGAATTTACAAAAGCATAAAAACTGGTGACTTATAAAGTCTGAGTGTTTACTCTGTATAGGAATTTATGGTTTACAAAATATATTCATATACTAGTAAAGCCTAGCTTCAGGGTTTTATTTCTAATAATGCTGTTTGGGCAAAGAAGTTCCTATTGCTTTCTTCACTCTGAGGAAACCCCAAGTTGGAGCTCCAGGTTGGCACTTTGACTTAGCTCCACAGCTCCTTAGTTTCCAGACTCCAGGAGAGAGATTCAGTGCCTGCCTTCTCCAGCACCAGGGCCAGTGCCTGTCCCAAAGCAAGCCTCACAGGAGCCCCTCCCTGAGTGTTTGCTTTATGAATGGTGTACATAAATAAATTAATGGCTTTTCAAAGGGCTTCTCCCCATTTGACTCCTAGAGGTCTCCTCTGTACCTTCTAGATATTACTCTTGGGGAAGCCGCTTTGGTGTGAGCTTGTGGGATCCTGCCTCTGCCATGAGCCTTGTCTTTTCCTTCCTGTTCTCCTGAAGGCCTGATAGGGTTGGGAATGTGGCCTAGAGGAGGCTGGATCATCAGTTGGTTGGAGTGCCAGCCATTCCTGGCCTGCCGGTGACCCACTGATGGCCCAGTGTCTTCTGAGCCCGCTTCTCAACACCACCCTCTGTTGGCCTTGCTGTGGGAGCTTTGTTCTAGAATCATTTTGATAATATCACAACAACTGCCTAAGGCAAGTGCTCCATAAATTGTTGAGTTAAATAAAGTAAGAAGAGGGTCACTGTCTTCCATTAAATGCAGAAATGCTTTACTAAAGCACATTCAAACAATGGCTTTGCCCTTTCAGGGGCTGGTCTGCCATTTGCTGTATATTGCATATAGATGTTGCACAAAGCATCTCCAAGACCTCCTTTTATTTCTTTGTTTTTCCGCAGTGTAGGAATTTAGATTAGGATAGAAAGGTTAGTGGGAAAGTCAAGCTTATTGGCTTGAGGCAGATCACATTATATTAAGCCAGTATTTGTATCTTCTCTGGCAAATTCTTATGTGTTTTTTCAGTTGTCCTTCTTGTTCTTTGACTTCCATTGCAGGTTTGTGTGCAGCTTGGTGTATTATGGCCTAACTCTGAGTGCAGGTGATCTAGGTGGAAGTATTTATGCCAACCTGGCCCTGTCTGGCCTTGTAGAGATTCCGTCTTACCCTATCTGTATCTACTTGATTAACCAAAAATGGTGAGTATAGATGACTATAAAGTATACCATATAGAATTCTCACTCTGTCTCGTTTACTTACTCATTCGTAAGTACATGCATACTCCTCAAATCTTATTGTCTGTATGCATGTGGAGTATCTGCTAGTTGCTCCGTGGTGATTGGAGTTCCTTTTGAGGCCAGTTGCAGTTAGAATTCAGTTTTTAGTTCAGTATTTCTTGGGTTTCATGTTTATTAGTTTATATATATATTTTTTTAATCCAGTATTGACAGATACTACCATTTAAGGGTTTTTGAGTAGGCTACATGTATATAATTTGTTAGTCCCCAATAGACAGGAGTGGTAGTTCTATGTAGCTAGAAATCCATCAACCCAGTTAATATTATTTAGAAGTTCTTACAGGAAGACAAGACTGAGGAATTAGACTTTTCTTACCTCCCAAGATCCACTTTATTTTGTTGAGAGAGGGAACATATCCTGCTTTTGCCACTCATTGTCAGTGGGCATGGTTTTAAAATACTTTTAAAAAGTTATTTTATGGAGCACCTTTCCTCATTTTTCTCAGCTACTGAGGGCAACTAAAAATCCCATCCTATGCGAGCTAGCAATCATTTGGATTATGCCATTTTTCATTCTCCAGAAACCATCATTTTAACCCAAAACAAGCTTCGTTTAGCATTGCACTTGGTGCTGTTGTTGCTCTTAACCACTACACCACCAGGGCTCCCATGGATATTTAGTTTAGAGCATTTTGAAGGGCCAGTATGGATTCTGTTAAATTGAAGGCTTTTCTACCAGGGAGAATTCCCAGTTAACTCTGCTGACTTCAGCTTATTCTCATTGTGTTCCAAGAGCTGGCTTAGATATCACGTTAAGAAATCTTTTCCCAACATCCCCAGTTGTACCAAATGCCTCTCCTTTGCGCTGCTGTAGCTTCCTGTGCATGCTTCTGACAGTCACTTCAAGTGTTAGGAGGACGCTTGGAATGTGGGTATCTTATATATCTTTGCATTGCTAGTGCTTGCCTAGCATGGTGCCTGATACTTGAAAGACATTTGATCATGATTGTCAAATTAAGTAGAATGATGTGGAAAAGGAGACTCAAGACCTTCACTGTCTCCTAGCGGTTATCGCCTGTTAAGATTAAATTGTGTTCCCCAAAAATTTGTGTGTCAACTTGGCTAGGCCATGATTCCCAGTATTGTGTGATTGTCCAACATTTTGTCATCTGATGTGATTTTCCTATGTGTTGTAAATCCTACCTCTGTGATGTTAATGAGGTGGGATTATCGGCAGTTACGTTAATGAGGCAGGACTCAATCTACAAGATTAGGTTGCGTCTTAAATCAATCTCTTTTGAGATATAAAAGAGAGAGGCGAGCAGAGAGAGAGGAAACCTCATACCACCAAGAAACAAGAGCCAGGAGAATAGTGCGTCCTTTGGACCCAGGGTCCCTGCACTGAGAAGGTCCTCAACCACGGGAAGATTGATGACAAGGATCTTCCTCCAGACCTGACAGAGAGAAAGCCTTTCCCTGGAGCTGGTGCCCTGAATTTGGACTTTTAGCCTCCCAAACTGTGAGAGAATAAAGTTCTCTTTGTTAAAGCCATCTACTTGTGATATTTTTGTTGTAGCAGCACTAGATAACTAAGACACCACCAGAGTCTGAATTAAAACTTGAAACAGTGAGAAGGAACACTGGCTTTGGAATCAGGGAGACCTGAATTCGTATCTGGTCTTACCCATGTGCGAGCTATATGAGTTTGACTACCTTATTTTTTCAGAAATAACGTGCGCTCTCTGCGTTTGTTTGCCAGCTGCTCCCTCCCCCTGCAAGACACCCTCCAAGCGCTGCTGTGGCAATCCTCTTCCACATGTTGCTGTAAAAAAAAGAGCGTGTCACTGGGGACGGGGCACAAACAAATACAGAAGTCAAGTATTATTTGCATAAAAATACGAGTACGTCTCAGTGTACTCATCCGTAAACTAGGGATTTTAAAATCTACCTGGAAAAATTGTTATAAAAATTAAAATACTGAAGTTTCTAGCAGTCCCTCAGTAAAGGGCGGCTTATTAATGTTAATATCTTTCTTCCAGTCTAAAGCACTTATTTGAAAATTACTTTTCTCAATAAAGTGTTCAATAAATTCCACTTAGTTCTGACCTATTAACAAGAAAAGTATTTTCTGTTTGTACTTTTAAGAGAGAGAAGCTTGTTTTAATAGTGTTTGAAACTTAACTGTTTAAGCTTCAGGCAACCAGAAAATGTAATGAACTAGAAGAATCCATTCTCCATGCTTCAGTTTCATTTTCTATAAAATGAAGAATATAACAGTATGTGCCTTACAGGTTTGTTAGTAGATTAAATATAATAATAGATGGAAAGCATTTAAAACAGTGCCTGAAACATAGTAAACACTCAAGGAAAGTGTTACTTGATATTCTTGTCCTCACACATCATTTAATCCTGCTGTCAAGCCAGTTTTCCTTTGTTTTATGATGGTTATTTATTTTATATCCTTGTCAATCTCCTGGTCAGTCACATTTGCCAACCACTCTTTAAAAAAAGATAAACATAGATAATGAAACAAAGAACATTTAAAAAGGAAACTTAGTTGGAAGAAGCAGATGAATTTATGTGATTCCTAATAGAAATGTGTCACTTCTTTTGATTATTTAGGTTTGGTCGGAAGCGGACATTAGCAGCATTTCTGTGCCTAGGAGGACTGGCCTGTCTTATTGTAATGTTCCTTCCAGAAAAGAAAGGTATGCCTTTCACATTTCTACAGGGATTTTGAATAGCAGTTTTATTACAATGAATCTCAGTATAGTAGGGAGATTACCATATGCTGTGCTTCACTTCTATGATTGCATATTATTTAGCAATTGTGTGGCGTATAATGGGCCAGATTTTTTCCATTGCTTAAACTATTCTCTGGCTGAATAATGTGCTTAGAGGTGCACTATTAATTCTTTTAGGCTATTAAGCTACCATCTGGGGTGGCTGGGATGCAGTGTAGTGAGGGTAGAGTTGTTTATTTGATGATGGTGTGGACCGGTTAGTTCTGCACAGAAAGAAATTCTGTCCAGGACTGCAGATTGCACTCCTCATCCCAGCCAATTGCAGGTTCAGAGATCACTGGTTCTAAATGGTGGCCTTGGCACCCCTCAGTATCTCCTTCAGTACCCCTAAGCCACCCCGATAACAACAAGGGTGTTTACTGTTGGTGACAATCAACATTCTCTCAGTCTTATATGAAGTGTGAATAAAACATGTTCAGAAAACCTTGGTGTTTTTATATATTTATGGCGTTGCTGTGCAAATGCAACTTCAGTAAAGGTCCCTTTGGCATCTTTGTGTAAGCTGATCACTACCCCTCTGTAGAAGTTCGTAGATACTGCTGGCTCTCAGCCTTTTTCTGCACCAGCACACCTGAGGCATGTCATGAGCTTGTAGAGCTAAGTGCCCATGGGGCAAGACAGTAATGGGCTTCAAATCGTTGTAGCTTTATGTTCAGCAGCTTTTGTACTTCATAGGCCACTTAGGAATGCAGTTGTTTCCCATGCCTAACAGTCCATTGTTCTGTTTACCGCTTTGTAAAGAAAAACTTTTCAGAACACACTTGTAACCTATCATACCTCCATAAAAAAAAAAAAAAAAACACCAAACTCGATGGCTTCGAGTCAATTCTGACTCATAGCAGCCCTATAGGACAAAGTAGAACTGCCAGGTAGGGTTTCCAAGGAGCGGCTGGTGGATTTGAACTGCCAGCCTTTTGGTTAGCAGCCGCACTCTTAACCATTGCACCACCAGGGTTCCATAAGCCAGGCCAGTTCATGTCTTTCCTCCTCCCTACACATTTGCACATACCAGCTAACTCACCTCTGAGACTGCACATGGTCCTTTCCTGAAATTGTTTCTTACTATAAAGAGCAAAGCAAAAACCCAAAGTGAATGCAGATTTGTCGTCTCTCATCTAGACCAGTCATCACCTGTCTGCACCCTTCCAATCGGCTTTAAGAAGACAGCTTGAACCCTTTTGTGATGATGTTCCCCCTGGGTGAACACTGGGTGAAAAACAGAGCATAACTGAGTACTGCGCACACTCCACGAATGTGCCTCAGGAATATGATCCTCTCTTAGACAGTGGTTAAGCATTTGGCTGCTAACCAAAAGATCAGCAGTTCGAATCTACCAGCTGCTCCTTTGAAACCCTATGGGGCAGTTCTACTCTGTCTTGTGGGGTTTCTATGAGTCAGAATTAACTCGATGGCAGTGGGTTTAGTTTTTCATTATACTTAGAGGAGTGGATGTTTAGTCTTTTTTTAAAGATTTCCAGGGAAAGACGTTCCATAATTACCCTTAGTAAATATTTCTGTTTTTAATAACCATTACTGTGATCCTCTTCTACTACAATTGCATCCATTTCCTTTCATTTTATTCATTAATAGAGATAGAAAACAGATGGTCACCCCCCATCTTTTTTGCATAATACTTTCTATGCTTGCAGAGCACTGGTGGCACAGTGATTAAGAGCTCGGCTGCTAACCAAAAGGTCGGCAGTTCAAATCCACCAGCTGCTTCTTGGAAACCCTATGGGCAGTTCTACTGTGTCTTGTAGGGTGGCTATGAGTTGGAATCGACTCGATGGCAATGGGTCTTGGTTGGTCGGGTTCTGTACTTGCAGAGTGTAATGTAGCCAGTCTCGAATATTCTCTTCTTTGAACTTAAAAATATTTGTAATTTAAAATCTTTGAATCTTTGAATTTTACTCTTTAAAGTATTTTGATGGCTTTCTTTTAAATCTCTCAAGTTTTTTTGTTTTCAAAGTTCTGAGCTCTAAACTACATGCTGTCCAAGAGTACTGCTAAATACATGTTAAGAAAAATACCTAGAAGTTTTAAAAATTTTACTAGCATCTTGCATTCATTTGGAGACCGCTCATCTTCACACTGCTTTTTGTGCTTGTTTGCCCTCACTTTTCCCACCAAACATAGAATCATTCTCTCCTTTCTGCCAATTCATGCGCCCCTCTGTTCACCAGCTTTTTGTAGCATCTATATATGATTGTAGTTGTCTGTATCTTTAACTGTGGCAGTATACCTCTAGGAAAGACAGCCGGTAAGCTAGAAAATAGATTGCTTGCCATTCCTCAGCCTGTAGTTTGCAATTATTAGGCAAAGGTGCCCTGCCCAGCACATATTTGCATGCTGGCTGTCTTCCAAGTAAATATTCTCCTCTGGGGATAATGTTACCAGGTGGCTATTACAGGTAGTCCCTAACTTAACGACGTATTCGAGTAATGGCGAGCCGCACTGGGAATTGTCTGCTTTTTTTTGTGCATCTTATCATTAGTAATATGTACTAATACAATGTTGCAGTGCCTAATTTGAACAGCAGTTTAATTATAACATCTTTGTTATCATTCTCATGCCAACCCTAAAAGACAAATAAAGATCAGATTTATAAAGATTCTGATAATAAAAGGCAATAATAATGAAAACTAGAAAAAAAAAATGAGGTGTTCAACTTATGTCAGAACTGACTTACGACAGGGTCGTCCAAACGGAACCTCGTCGTAAGTCGGGGACTTCCAGTAATTTATTCCACAGATTGATCATCATGAATTTCATCTGATCTCTATCCTTGCTTAGAGGATCATATTTAACTTTACAGTACTGGTGACCATCCATTAAATGTTGACTATGTGCTGGATTCTCTTCATATGCAAAAGTTACTAGGTATCATCCCCATTTTAAGTTTATACAGCAAGTAAGTAGCATATCTGGAATTCAGATTTCATGTCTTTCTGACTCTGAAGTCAGTGCTCTTTTGGGAATGCTGTTTTTCCCTCCTAGAGTTTTAGAACCAAAATGGTGTTGTTCTTGGGTGCCATGGGGTTGACTTCAGCTTACAGAGACCCCATGTGATAGAGGAGATCTGTGTTCCATAGGGTTTTCTTGGCTGTAATCTTAACAGAAGCATATCACCAGGTCTTTCTTTCGCACAGCCGCTGGGTAAGTTCAAACTGCCAATCTTTTGGTTAGCAGCTGACTGCTTAACCGTTTGTGCCACCAGGGCTGCTTAGAACCAAAGTATTCATTGCAAATGATGAAGCTGTAGTCTTAGAAGATTCATGCTGCCTGATGAGGCCTAGTTTTTGGCTCTTCAGTGGGCAGGTATGATGGGAATTGGCCAGGGTCCAAGAATCTGGGTTGTCAGAGTGCCTCTGGGCTCTTGTTGACAAGAGTTATGGTCCTGCCAGAATCTGAATACTAGGAAGTCAGGGCACATGACTACATAAAGAAGTTCCGTAGTTGAAGGACGTGTACTAGTGGAACCTTTATACTTCATTTCTTTTTTCTCAGTCTTGGTTTGCCCATTCTTTATCCATTTGACTTTTCTACTTCCTTCTGTATACAAGATACTATTCATAAACAAGACCTAGTCCCTGACCTTAAAGAGCTTACAATCTAGTGAGGGAAATGAATGATTCAAAAATAACAATAAAAGAAAATACTGTTATAGATTGAGTTGTGTCCCTCACCCCCGCCAAAAAAAAACAAGTGTTGGTCAACTTGGCTAGTCCATGATTCCTAGTATTGTGTGATTGTCCAACATTTTGTCATCTGATGTGATTTTCCTATGTGTTGTAAATCCTACCTCTATGATGTTAATGAGGTAGGATTAGCAGCAGTTATGTTAATGAGGCAGGACTCAATCTACAAAATTAGGTTGTGTCTTAAATCAATCTCCCTTGAGATATAAAAGAGAGAAGCGAGCAGAGAGACAGGGGCACCTCATACCACCAAGACACAAGAGCTAGAAAAGTAGCGCGTTCTTTGGAACTGGGGTCCTTGTGCTGAGAAGCTCCTTAACTGGGAAAGGTTGATGACAAGGACCTTCCCCCAGAGCCGACAGAGAGAGAAAGCCCTCCCCTGGAGCTGGCACCCTCAATTCAGACTTCTACCCTCCTGGACTGTGAGAGAATAAATTTCTCTATGTTAAAGCCATCTACTTGTGGTATTTCTGTTATGCAGCGCTAAATGACTAAGAGAGATACCATATGAGAATTGACAACAAAATGCTATGGAGACTTTCACTTATGGCGATGATAGTAATGGGGACCAGCTGTCCTCTTGCTTTAAACAACTTTAAAACCAAAGTATAAGCAGTGTTGTTTTCAGACGTTGGACAACAGTCTGTGAAGAACAATGATCCTGAGAGAAGAGAAACAAAGTGAGCCCTGAAAGGACCCCAGCTCAGGGTTTTCAGGCCACAGTACAGGGAGGGGGAGCTCAGCAAAGTCTGGTATTCTTGCTGAATTGAGAACACAGAATTGGAAGCTTGGGGAGGTCAAGATGATTAGAAATTGCTGGGTAAGATACTGGAAATTGAGTAAGCTGCACCCAGGAAGAGCTCCAGAGATCTACAGAAGGGGATTCCAAGTCTGGCTACTTTCTGATCTCTGCATGCATCTGAGGAAGCTACTAAAGCTAGAGAAATGACTACCAGAAAGGAGGAGGCAGAATAATTCTTGGAACACAGGGCCATAAATACTTAATATTCTTATTGGTCAGATTCTAGGATTTGGGTAGAGAACTTCTCGGTCGCATTAGCCATAAAGTAAACGCTGTTCTGAATTTACCCCCTCAAAAAAAAATTATTAAAAAAAAAAGGGAAAGAAACAAACCTCAGGAGGCTCAAATGATTCCAGGTAACTTAACTGCATTCCAGGGCAAAGACCAATAATATTTAAAGGAATACAATAAAATCTAGCATGCAACAATGTAACATTCACAATGTGTAGCATCCACTCAAGAATTACAAAACAGGAAAGTATCATCCGCAACCAGGAGAGACATCAATAGAAACAAAACCAGAAATGACATAGATGATAGAATTAGGAGACAAGAATGTTAAAACAGCTATAGTAAATAGATTTTATATGATCTAGAAAGTAGAGGAAAGCAGGATCATAATGAGTAGAGAAATGGAAGATATATAAAAGACACAACTGTGACATCTAGAGATGAGACATTCAGTATATGGGGGAAAAATATACTATATGAGATTAACAGCAGATTACACACTGCAGAAGAAAAGATCTGTGAATGTAAAGACATAACCAAAAGAAACTATCCAAAATGAAACACAGAGAAAAAAATATTAAATTAAGAATTAACAAAGCATCAGTGAATTGTGGGCCAATGTCAAGTGTCCTAACATATGTGTAATTGGCATGTCAGAAGGTATGGGTAAAGAAAATACATTTGCAGAAATAATAGCCAAATATTTTGCAAATTTAATGAATATTATAAACACATAATGAGAAAGGAATCAATTCATCAAGAAGATGTAACAATCTTAAATGTGTATGCATCTGATACAGAACTTCAGATGACATGAAGCAAAAATAGGTAGAACTGAAGGGAGAAATAGACAAATCCAGAATTATAGGTGGATATTTCAGTACATCTCTCTTAATGATGATAGGAAAAACAGACAGAAAATAGCTAAGGATATGGAGACTTGAACAACCAACATGACATAATGGACATTTGTAGAACATTCTACCCAGCAACAACAGGATATACATTCTTTTTGAAGTGCACATAGACCATTTACCAAGATAGATGATATTATGGGCCATAAAATAATTTTCAATAAATTTAAAAGGATTGAAGTCATATGAAATATGTTCTTTGACCAAAACAGAATTAAGCTAGGAATTAGTAACAGATATCTGGAAAATGCTCAAGTATTTGAATATTAAACAACATCCTTCTAAAAAGCAGTGGGCCAAAGAAGTCACAAAGGAAATTAGAAAATATTTTTAATTGAATGGTAATTAAAATATAACATATCAAAGTTAGTAAGATGCAGCTAAAATAGTGGTTAGAGGGAAATTTTTATCATTAAAACCTATAGTAGAAAAAAGTTCAAATTCATGATCTAAGCTTTCACTTTAAAGAAATAGAAAAATTTAAGGGCAAATAAAAATACAAAGCAAGCAGAAGGAAGGAAATAATATAAGATCAAAAGTGAATGAAATGAAAACAGTAAAAGAGAATATCAGTAAAAACCAACAGCTCATTATTTTAGATCAATAAAATCAGTAGGCCTCTAGCTGACCTAATCAGGAAAAAGAAAGAAGACATAAATTACTAATATCAGAAATGAAAGAGGGCACAAACTATAGAACCTATAGATGTAATAAAAATATATTATGAACATTTTTATGCAAATGAACTTGAAAACTTAGGTGAAATGGACAAATTCCTTGAAAGATGTAGAGACTTCCAAAGCTTACTCAAGAAATAGATAACCTGAATAACCCTATGTAAAGAAATTTAATTTGTACTTATAAACATTCCCACAGAGAATTCCTGGCCCAGATGGAGTCACTGGCAAATTCTACCAAATACTTAAGGAAGAAATAGTACCAATTCTACCAACTCTTCCAGAAAATAAAAGTGAAGGGAATACTTCCCAACTTAGTCCATGAGCCCACTAAATTACCTGAGAAAACTGGTTCCAGAAATGATGTTCTTCAATAGCTGCATCACTGGCATAGACTTAAAACCTCTTGAATTCATTACTTTGAAAGACATTACTATTTTGAGTCTTTTTTTTTTTTTTTAGATAATTTAGTTTAATTTTTCCTTTCAAAAGGCTCTTTACTAAAGAGTCACTTTGAACAGTCATTGGTAATAGCCAGTAATATCTGATTTCATTTGTAATTAAAGAACCATGATTAGGAATCTAGTGGCTGCCAAGCCTTCTTAAACGTTAGCTCAGGTTGACCAACAAGTCCAGCAGTTCTGCAGGCAGGAATCCCAAAAAGCCTAAGAAATAATTTTCTAATAAACAGCTGCCTAAAATTGACACGGGCTACTGAAGACTTAGTTGGCAGGAATGTAGGAGAGAGGTTTCAAGCATCAGATGAGGTGTTAAACTGATATGGACACTTCTGTGAGCATGCAGCTGGAGCCAGGCTCCGCAGCTGGATGTGTCCTGAGCCTCACCTGAGTCTTCTCGCAGCCTTGGATCTTGTTGTAGAAGTTTAGCTCATCATCTTTCTGTGAAGCACCATTTGAATCTCAGGATGGCAGTCCCCTAACATGTTGTTAAAGATGTTGTAGAATGCCTCCGCACTTCAGTAGTTCTGACGGATGCCATCCTGGGTTGAAAACAGTACCAGAGATCATTTACAGTCAAGCAAATATGCACGTTTCTGTTTGCTTCAATGCCACCCAATACAATTTCCTGACTCACTCAGTGTTCAGGAAAATAATTGAGGAATTTAATTTGCCATCATTTTGGGTTTAAATGAAGAAGTTGTTAAATCTCAAGTCTAGACACATATCTCAGGGTAAATTCAGAAAGGGGTGGTTCTCTTTTTTTTTTTTTTTTTCCTTTTTTCCAGAATTTAAAAGAGCTAGCATCTTCTTCGGAAACCCTGTTGGAATAGTGGTTAAGAGCTATGGCTGCTTACCAAAAGGTCGGCAGTTTGAATCCACCAGGCACTCCTTGGAAACCCTATGGGACAGTTCTGCTCTGTCCTGTAGGGTCGCTATGAGTTGGAATTGACTCGACGGCAATGAGTTTAGCATCTTCTTCCAGATAACCTGGCAGAAGAGGAGAGAGCAGCCCAAGGTGGTCAAGTTTGGCAGTGCCTCGGCCACTGTGTTCAGGATGCCATCTTTAAAATAGATGAAGATTTATTTCACTTTCAAGCAGGGAAAGTGGCACTTGTTTTTTGGAATGAGATGTATTATGTGCCTCCCTTGTTAGAGGTTGAGAGAGCATGAACACAGATTTTTTTTTCACTAAGTTAATTTCTGTCATAGTCCATTCAGATATTTAGTGAACACTTATGTGCATAGTACTGTGGGATGTGCTATCAGGAACACAAACAAAATAAAGACCTTAGGCCAAGGAAACCCAAAATATATTTTGGGCAGATAAGATGGAAAAGTAAGTAACTACAAAGGCATGTCTGAAGCAGGCTAGTTGAATGGATTTGAAAATAAGGGCAGTGGAGGTCAAAGGAAGGAGAGGCTATTTCATTTGAGGTAGTCAAGGGACGAGTGGTTTATATGAATGATGGAGTCCCAAAGAAGAGGACAAGAGTGCTCTATCTGGCAGAAATGCCAAGGAGAATGAGATGGTTAGGACATCACTGTTACTTCAAGAGCAGAAGTTTCCAGAGAGGGTAGTATTGGAAGCTGTAGCAGTGACAAGGCAGATGCATTTAAGCAAATGGAGTGGTGGTCACTCATTGGAGATGTTCAGTAGTCAAGGGGGAGGAAGTTACAACAGAGTCATTGGGATTTTTTGTTGTTGTTGGGAGACAAAATTATGTTATGTTGAAGGTAGAGGTGAATAAGTTACCAAAAGGGAGAGGTTAAACATGTTTGAAAGAGAATAAATTGTAGGGTCCCAGAGAGGATAATGTTAATAAAGGAAAGAACTACAGAATAATCAATAGTATTTTTGATAAGGAAACAAACTGGCATAAAACATTTTTGCATTTTATGCAAAAATATTACATTAAGAAACTTAGATATTACTAACTTACTGTTAATAATGCAAGTGAGAAGTTGGAAAGGAGGAAATACTGAAGCCACTTCCATGATTAGAGTCTTGTTCTTTAAAGAACATTAATGCTATATATCTGCTGGTGGTGATTTAAAGGGATTATTCCTTATGTAGGTGTCCCTGACTGGTACAGATGGTTAAGTGAAAGGTTAGTGGTTTGAACCCACTCAGAAGCACCTCAGAAGATAGGCCTGGCAATCTGCTTCTGAGAGGTCACAGCCTTGAAAACCCTATGGAGCAGTTCTGCTCTGCACATGTGGGGTCACCATGATTCAGAATTGACTCAACGGCACCTAACAACAACATTCCTTATCTAACATCCCTAGGTGGCAAAAATGGTTTGGGCTCAACTACAGTGGTTAAAATTGCTGCTGCTAACCAAAAGGTCAGCAGTTCAGATCAACCAGCCGCTTCTTGGGAACCCTATGGGGCAGTTTTATTCTGCCCTATAGGGTTGTTATGAGTCAGAATCAACTCGAAGGCAACGGATTTGTTTTCCTTTTTTGAACTAACCTAAAGGTTGATGGTTCCATCCATTGGTGCCGTGGAAGAAAGGCCTGGCAATCTGTTTACAAAAAGCAGTTCTATTACCCATGGGGTCGGCATGAGTTGGAATTAGCTCTGCGACAATGGGCTTTGTTTGGTTTTGTTGTTCCTTCTAAACGGAACACCAAAGAATCCAAATTCAAGATAGGCATTTTCTAGACCTGCCTCTGCCTGTTAGAGCAATCAGGCTTATTCCCCTCATGGGCCACTAATTTACATTGATTATTAAACAAGATTGGGAAGAAAGAAATTTCGGTATTGCCCTTGGTAGACAAAACTTAGGATATCATTAAGCTTACTTTGCTACAGTACAGAAGTTTTCAGGGTGCGCTTTCATTCTGGAGTCAGTGCGATCGTAATCACATGCAAGATTTCATGGGTGTAACCAAGTGAGAAAATATTTGCAAAGGTGTTTGTGTGGGATTACTAAACATTCTGAATATGTGTTCAGTTATACTACCTCTTTGTTGTTTGAGATCAGCGTTAATGTCTCCCACTCCTTCAACACTAAATGTGCCCTCTGAAAGAATTTTTCTCAGCTAAGGACCTCACAGGTATGCACTTGCCCTCCTCAGGCACGGGTGTGTTTGCAGTGGTGAATAGCCATTCCTTGTCCTTGCTGGGGAAGCTGACTATCAGTGCTGCCTTTAACATTGTTTATATCTACACCTCCGAGCTTTACCCTACAGTTATCAGGTATGTGCCACACAAAGCCACACTGTGCATTTTGTTGTAGATACTTCCATCAAGAGATGGTATGGTTCTCATTTCACCTGGAACATAGTTAAGGTAGGGTCCACAGCAACTCAGCAAGCAGTTGTAAGCACAGCAGCTATCTCTGTAGACTGCCCTTGCCTGCTTGGCTGAGGAAAACGTAGCTTTGCCTGAATGTCCTTGTGTAAAGTATACTCTACACTAAATATATCCCATCACCCAGATGCTTTCATTTCTGTCAATTTCATTTATTTGATCACCTGTCCTTTGTCAGGCACATGACAGAGAAGGGGACAAGGTCCCTATTCTTGCAGAGCCTACCTTTCAGCAGGGCAGAGGAACAAACAAGTATGCAAAATTGTTAAGAAGTTAATTCCATGTGGTAATACATGAATATTAGATGTAAATATCCAATGTTAAATGTGGTTTTTAGTGAGTAGAACATGTTTATGTTAGAAAGAACATATTCCATCCTAAATTTTCCTCTTCGAATAATCCTGAAAACAAACAAAAACAAATTTGAAGGGTGAGGGTGCAGCTAGCTTTATAAAACCACCTCTGTGGGCCAGATTCCCCCAGCCAGCCTTTTCAGTTTTTTTAAGGATCATTCTGAATGATCGTTAAAAGACACCTAATGGTTCTTTCTGCCTATTAATTTAAAATCATTTTTTCCCAATAAGAAGTCAGATTGTCTGTGACTGGCTAGTCATTTCCTAGTTGCTCCTACAACCTCCTTTTTCTTGGTTACTGGCTATAAAATGAGGGTGAACATTTGTCCAAACTCTGACAGTTTTGTCCACACTGGAACATAGTACGGGCGTTATTGATAATTAGGCTGGGATAACAGAGTCGCTCTACCTATGACCGATACTGTTCCTCCCTGCTCTCTCCCACCTCTGTCATATCCACACTCCCCAGGAAGGTAGTGTTCTTGGTTTCCTGAAAGTACATGCTCAATCAACTCCTTTTTATATCCCTGACCTTTTAATAGTTACTTAGTTGAGTTTAATTAACTGGACAGACTTTTTAGATCATAAAGCCCTGGCTATCTATGGCTTTATTAACTGATAGGAGACCTAAGAGGAAAAAGCCAAAAAAACATATGGCAAAGAATGTTCAGATGTTTAGGTCTACAACACCCTGCCCAGTAGGGTAGCAACTGGTCTCATGTGGCTATTTAAATTTTAAATTAATTTAAAAATTCAGTTCCTCAGTGTCACTGCCGCATTTCAGTTGCTCAGTAGCCACATGCCTCTAGTGGCTACCATAGTGGACAGTGCAATGAGAGAACATTTCCATCATCACAGAAAGTTCTATTAGACAGCACTGCTCTATAGCATCTGTACTTCTACTTTGCGATATATATTACTCTTCAGATTTTTTAAACTGCCCCCCTAGAACTTACTGATTTTTTTCCCCCCGACTATTTTCTTTTGCTTTCCAGGAATGTTGGGCTTGGAACTTGTTCCATGTTCTCCCGAGTTGGTGGAATTATTGCTCCCTTCATCCCCTCACTGGTTGGTTTGTACCTCCTAGTTTTTCTTGATTTCTTTGCTTTGGAAATGCTTGTGCTTTGAGTAGAAACAGGTAATGAACAGATGCCGTTTAAGATCACAACATCAATGAGAACTTTGTGCCTTTTAGACCAAGAATCCAGTGGCAGATGGGCTCTTACCAAGGATGCTTTTACCCCGATGGGTCTGATTTTTTGCTCAAGTTTATAGACATTGGAGGGTCTGCTAACGGCAACTTCCGCCTTCCTGTCCCCATTCACAAGTCAGTCAATAGATAAATATTTATTGATCTTCTGCTGTGTGCTGGGCTCTGTGCTAAGTGCTTTTTTATATATTATCTCATGTAATCTTCACAACTCTATGAGGTAGGCATCGTTGTTACCCCTATATTAAAGATGAGAAATGCAGCAGAAAGAGGGTGAATACTTTCCCCAAAGGCACACCACTTGGAAAAGAACAGAAGAGAAACATGCTTGGCAGTATGACTATTAATATTTTTTGACATTTTCTAAATGTCATAGTTAAAAGGAAGGGGTATGGACCTAAAAACCTTTCGGTCTTAAAATTCTCGTATTCTGTGGAAGAGCCCATGGCGTTCTTACGCATGTTTCTCCATTGTCTGATCTGTAACTGCTTCTCAGCCAAGACTCAACCAAAGGGTGACTAGACCCTCTTCCCTGGGTCTACTTCCTCTTCGTGCAAGGCCTGTGAACCTGCTCTGTAGACAGCTCTAACTCACCCAACTGCATGGTACAGGGATATCTGAAAGGTCACTACTTCCTTTTCATGTTTGGGGTCGCAGTGCACTTCCTTTTTCTGAGTATATCCGTCCATGTTTCATGCTTAATTTAAGACTCCTTCCTATGCAGGAATCTTATTCAATTCCATATTTCCTTCTGCAAAATGTGTCCAACATTACGGGTTTATTGCTAAGATATCCCACTTCGGATGATGATCCCAGAACATTATAATACCCAGCGTGGTCTTATGGAGGGACCCCTGGCGGCACAGTGGTTGAGTGCTTGGCTGCTAACTGAAAGGTTGGCAGTTTGAACTCAACAGCTGCTCCACAGGAGAAAGATGCAGCAGTCTGCTTCTGTAAAAGATTATATAGCCTCAGAAACCCTATGGGGCAGTTCTGCTCTGTTCTATAGGGTCACTGTGAGTTGGAATTGACAGCAGTGGTTAGTTTGGTTTGATTTTTGTGTGTCTTATGGACTTCTGCTAAGTTTAGAAGAGGTAAAAATGTTGTGTTCACCTTGATTCAGCAACACACGGACAGTGCTGAACTTGGGTTTGCATGTAGATGGCTAGAGATGAGCGATCCCCTCCCCCACTTCTCTCCCTTTCCCTCCTCTCTCTCTCTTCCTCTCCCCTCTGCCTTCTCCTTTTCTCTCCCTCCCCCTCCTTTTCCATTTTCTCTTCAGTTTTGAAAAATTTATTTGAAGGGAAATCCTAAGCTAGCAGTGATCTCACCCACAGAATTACATGGTCCCACCCAGGTGGACGCTGGAAGCCCACACCAGGCCGCAAAGCAGAGCTGCTTCTGTGCTGGACATGAATGTTAATCAGTTCTCAGAAAGTCCCCAAGGCAACATCCTACAAGGAATGTTCTCTGTGGTGTTATCATTGAACCTATTTGTATTTAAAGAAAATATTCCTGGGATTATCTTTTTGGATCTCTGAATCAATTGCTTATGGAATGGTTCTTTACCATGTTCATTTCAAGGAGTTTACAAGCCCTGTGTATATGATAGGGTTCTTTAGGTTTTTTCTTCTGCTCAGAGTTGTTACTGTTTTTTTTTTTTTTTTTTTTTTTGAATAATATTTTATTGTTTTTGGTGAAAGTTTACACAGCAAATTAGGCTCCCATTTGACAATTTCTACACAGATTGTTCAATGACGTTAATCACATTTTTCACAAAGTATCAACATTCTCTTTGTGTTCTGGTTGTTTTCTAGTACTCTAGTTACCCTGTTTCTGCTCAGAGTTTTTATTACTTTAATCTCTATGCCTCTCAGCTATAGTGTTGAGTGAATCAATGAGGGTATGTAGGATTGGGGGGTTATTTGACTCATTCCGGGTTGAGAACTTTAAAGTTTGTCATTAGCAAATATTTTGGGGGTGTCCCCTATGTGATGAGCATATGCACATCACTGTATTATAAATTATTATGTGGAATTAAAGCTAAACACCAGGCTTCCTGCAATCTCAGACCCTATAGGCCTGCTCTGCTCAGATACAGCCCATGTCTGCTTCGCCCACAATACCCACCCCTTGCATAAGACAGTCTGCTGCTTCCAATCCATGCACCAGTGCTACTTTTTTATTTACTCACTCCCATCTCTCTGTGCCCAATGAGTCATTGGGTGATTTTCCAGGGCAATTCTCTGTGAGGAAGGAAAATTAGTCTGTAGTGGATTCTAGTGGGAAGATTACCAAAAACAAAAAACCCATTGCCGTCGAGTCGATTCCAACTCATAACAACCCTGTAGAACCGAGTAGAACGGCCCCCATAGGGTTTCCAAGGCTATAAATCTTTGTGGAAGCAGACTGCCATATCTTTCTCCCAAGAAGTGGCTGGTGGATTCAAACCACCGAGCTTTCCATTAGCCGAGCGCTTAACTACTGTACCACTAGGGCTCCTTGTGAGAAAATTAAATGGATAGTAAATAATAATAGTTCTTCAGTCATGAGACTGCTAGTGTCATCTGCTAGGGGAGCCAACACTGACTTTTTGTTTGCTTTCTTTGTACTCTTATCCCCACAGAAATATGTGCAGTGGTCTTTACCCTTCATTGTCTTTGGAGCCACTGGCCTAGCCTCAGGCCTTCTGAGTTTATTGTTGCCTGAAACCCTTAACAGCCCATTGCTAGAGACCTTCTCTGACCTTCAGGTGTATTCCTATCGGAGGCTAGGAGAGGAAGCTCTGTCATTACAGACCTTGGATCCCCCACAGGTATGACGTTATTTATTTTATTTTTAACCATTCAAACCCAGCACTTGAATAAATTACAGTTTTTGAAAATAAGAATGCTCTGGTCAGATTAAATAGAACTGAGTAAAACTGCTGGAAAACAAAGGTAGAATCTAACGGCAGCTGACTTTCAGAGAAATAAAGACGACAGATGCAATTTATTAACATTATTAGAACACTTTTAGGGGCTGATTCTTAGAAGAATAGATGTCATAGAAATACATTTGTCCATTGAATAGGTAGATGGTAATTTTCATCTTAGAAATGTCATGACATCATTTTACCGCCCTTTTCTCTTTTCCTGTTTTAGTCTGCAGACAAAGAGAGCACTTCAGGGAGCGAGAGTGAGGAAGAGGAGGAGTTTTATGATGCGAATGAAGAGACTCAGATGCTCAAGTGAAGAGCCCAGATTTCTTCTCAGAAACATTGAATCGTCTTTTATGCCTCTGGCTAAGGCAGGTTCTCCGTTGACACCTAAGAGAGCTGTAGAAAGACAGGCTTGAACTTACATAGGTGATACTCAGTGTGACATGATTTTTTGAGGCACAAGAAAAGCTGGAGAAGAGATTTCATGAGAGAGGACCTCTCTGCATTGAAGGAACAGTTGTTAATTTGTCCAAAATGCCGGTTTAGCTCAGAATCATAACCTCTGACCCAATAGCTCAAACACACATTCCAGAGTGGTAGGGAGAGTCATTAATCATACTGCTTTTCCTTCATCGTGACCTAAAGGCAGATACGTAAAATTGTTCACCCTTTCAGTGGGATAAGTTATTCTTAAGCTTGAATCTTTATACCATTTTCAATATCTATCTCTACCAGTTGTACCTCACCAGGACTCTTTAGAGGCAGATAAGATTTCAGTTCTGTGTCAGAGGAAAAGCAGCGAGAGGTGTTTGTGTGGCCCGAGGCCCTCCAGCTTTACCTTAACTGAAGACGTTTGAGTTTTCAGCTTGCTTCCAGCCTACTGGTTGGCTTGAGTTACCTATGCCTTTAGTCCCACAGATGATTGACAAGTAAAAGCCAAATGTACCAAAGAGATTTTCTTCAGACTCAGAGCCCTGTTAGCTCCCTTTGATGCTCAGATCGTGTCATCTCTTTAGTTCCCACTTATACATACCTCCGGAAAAATTTCCATCTGAGGTTCCACCACCAGCAATAATCTCAAAATCATACAAAGTAAATGATAAAGCTTTATAAAGATGGAAGGCAGTTAAAAAGTGGCATGTTAATCACTTGCATCTAAAACAATAAAAAAGGTACGGTTTTTAAAAGGGAAGAAAAGAAAATGGTCTTTCATGAATTTTGGGGGTGTTTTGCTTTCAGTGTTGTGTGGTTAGAGACTTGGATAACATTTAAGAACTCTAACTCATCTTGTCTTTGATCAGCCCCTGCCTTTAGTCAGAATAGAAGGCACAGTAATTTCATAGGAGATGGAGGTTTTTCATTAAGTACTACCAACTTGCAAGTAAATCAGAATTATATGTAATTTCCTAAACCATGTGCTGAAAATGTCAGTTTCCCCAGGAAACTTGAATGTTATCTCAAGTAGGAGTGTTAACCTGGAACCAAGCAACCTGGCAGCATTGCTTTAGTCACTTTCCCAGCTAGGAAAACATCTTTGTTTTCAGAATTGCCATTTCTACTAATGTCTTAGAGGAAAAAATGCATTAGAGGTAAAGAGAAGATATTACTGTGACTGCTTCTGGAAACCTGGGAGGCATCACCCCCAATTGGCTCCAAATACACTGCTGTTCTCTTCCACATTAACTTTTTGGTTTGTGCTATATCATTTGGTACCTTTGTATTTGTTAAAATATTTTTATGTCTTTTGATAACTGTCTGTATGCTCTTGTTTATGTATCTTCATGAACAGGAGCGATCTCTATCTACTACTATTTATTTCTCCCTGCTGTTCCCAGCACACTGCCTTAAACACAGTAAACCAGTTGCCATCCAGTCGATGGCAGGGTAGAACTGCGCTCTAGAGAGTTTTCATAGCTGTGACCTTTCGGAAACAGATCACCAGCCTTTCTTCCGAAGCATCTCTGGGTGCGTTCAAACCACCAACCTTTTGGTTGGCAGTTGAGCGTTTGACCATTTGTACCACCCAGGGACTCCTAGACACAGTAAGGACCTAATATTACTATTTCTAGCCTTCAAGGAAGTTGTGGGAACCAACCCCCACCCCCCCGGCCAGTATCATTCTTGCAAACCCCTACCCCAGGTAAATCTGACCCAAACCACTAAATGGTGGAGTCCTGCTTGGCTTTGCCTAGAAAGTGGAGTGCCACTACCCACCATTAGGAGAGGAAGAGAGGAAAAACTTACAAAGACACTTAGAAGCTCCTTTTCAGTGGTTGGGTATTAAAAAGAAAACTATATAAAATTGTTGGTTGGGTGAAACTTTGTTCTCATTATAAGAGCAATAAATCCCATTAATAGAAAATAGAAGGAGAAAAATCATCACCCATTTGAAGATCAATTAGGAGTCCATCTGTCTGTTGACACCAGGGTTCCCTCTGCTTCTGGCTGTATAAATGAAGGTCCTGTCAATTCTGATCCTGGGTCTCCTTCTTCTCTAGCTATGGGATGGAAAATGGGAGGGAGGGATGCAGTTTGTGCATACATTGTTTAATAAGACTGGGCTGGCTATCAACTGCTCATGTCAGAAATGTCACTAAATTTTGTTTCATTTTAGGTGGTCCTTTAGCAAACTTAAGGAGCCCTGGTGGCACAGTGGTTAAGTGCTCAGCTGTAACAGAAAGTCGGCAGTTCGAACCCACCAGCCGCTCCACGGGAGAAAGATGTGGCAGTCTGCTTCCATAAAGATTACAGCCTTGTAAACCCTATGGGGCAGTTCTGCTCTGTCCTGTAGGGTTGCTATGAGTCAGAATTGACTCGATGGCAGTGGGTTGGGTTTGGGTTTTAGCAAACTTTAATAATTACTGTTTTTTCTTTATACTGTATTTATAAAAACAGACTGTTCCTTTTTCATAGTAACTGTTGAAGGATATTGATTGTAGGGAATGCATGTATGTGTATATTTGCATGGATTAAATTATTCAGAACATTTAATTGATAGGTACCATATTTTTTTGTACAGATGATTTGTAAAAAGTTCCCTTCTGAATTTTTTTATTGTGTCCAAAACTATATTTCTTTTCTCCTAAAAAGCAGCAGGAAAAATGTAAGACGCATAAGAAACCCCAAGGTTTCCAGGATCAGAAGTCATACTAACAGCCTGTCCAGAACCTTGGAACCACAACAGAACATTGAAAGAGGCTGTGTTGCAGTTTCCTGATTTTATGACTTAAAACCACTGCCCACTGGAAATCTAATATTTGTCATTTGACTGCTTTCAAGCACTGTACACATTCTTTAGTATTTTAAAAAAAAAGGAAAATAAAACAAGAAGCAAATGAAAATTATAGGAGCACTGTTTGAGTGTATGTAATCTGAAGAGGTATTTTTATGGAAGTCAAATTGATGAAGTAGATTTATATTCTTAACAAATACATCTAAAAATTAAAATATGGCTTTCCATTAGAACTCACTCCTCTATTACAAATTTTTGTTTGATTATTGGTTCTTAAATTGGAAAGGTATTTATAAAGGGTTAGACTTTTTTTTTTTTTAACTAAATAAAACAGTGATTTTGGCTTCTTGTGAGTTTAATAAAGGATCACAAAACATAGATAGGCCTTTTCTTTTGTTCTTACACAATGTGTCAGGATATATAGCAGCATCTTTGGCAAATTGGGCAATAGAGAACCTGCTAGAAATTATAGGTGACATGTGAGACGGGTACTGTAGCAAAGTTGGGGAGTCACAGGCACGAAAGATAATTATAAAAATATTTTTCGAAAAAGAAAAATGCAAAGATGATGCATTACTGAAAAATCTACCACTAAAGGAAAAAGACCTTATGATTATTTCAATGGATGCATAAAGATTATTTGACAAAATTCAATACCCATTCAAAAATTAAAACTATTAGCAGATTAGGAATAAAAGGAAACTTTCTTAACAAAATAAGAGGTATTATAGTGGATAGGGTGGATTGGCACACAGCATCTATTCACCCTCCAGGTACCTTGGCCTTCAAACTTTCTTGATCATTACTGTAGTATGAAACATTTTTGATGTATTTTTATTCTCTCTTTCTCTACCCCTCCCACTGCCCTCCCCCCTTTTCCCCACCCACGTATATATAGCTTTCATGAAATAGTACTTACTCTTCTTGCTAGACACACTGATAACTTCTGTTTTATTTTTCAAAAATGCTGTTTTCAACCCACCTAATTGATTTCGTGACCAACTGTTTACATGAGTAATAGGGTGCTGTATTAGTTTCCAAAGGGACCCTCGTGGTGCAGTGGTTAAGCACTCATCTGCTAACTAAAAGGTTGATGGTTCAAACCCACCAGCTGCTCTACAGGAGAAAGATGTGGCAGTCTGCTTCCATGAAGTTCACAGCCTTGGAAACCCTATGGGGCAGTTCTAGTTGACAGCAATGGATTTAGTTTCTAATTGCTGCTGCTGCTGCAACAAAATTACCACAAACTTAGTGGCTTTGGACAACACAAATTTATTTTCTTAGACTTCTGGAGGTCAGACTCCAAAATGAGGCTTAAGGGGCTGAAATGAAAGTGTCAACAGGGCTAGTTCTTTGTTTCTTTCTGGTGGCTCCAGTGGAGAATTCCTTCCTTGCCTCTTCTAGCTTCCAGAGACTGTGGCATTCCTTGGCCTCTGGCCACATCACTCCATACTTTGCTTCTGTTGTCACATAGATACCTACCGCAGGTGTCTTAAAGTGTGTGCCCTTAAAGGATCCTAAGTGGACTGGATCTGGTGGAGGCATTAGAGTATATTGTAAATTGAAATGGGTAACTTAGTCATCACTTGGAAAAGCCAGACCATGGGTAACAGCCCCAAATCTGCATTTGTCTTTGATCCTGTTGACTCAGTTGGCTGAGCCTGCAGTCGCCCACTGAGACATATTGTCACTTATTGTTTGAAAGAATAAACTGCTTACAAAAGAATTTGAACTTAATAAGTCTTTATATCTGAGTTTTATTTGTTGCTATATCTTAACAGTAACAATTAATGACTATCTTTTTCCCCATGTTCCAAAAGTTGTCTTAGCAAAATAAATTGTTGATATCTTTCATTTATCTCCTGTAGTGCTACCTTCAACCTCTCTCTTTGTTGTATGTTCTTCAAGCATCCTGTACTTTTCCATTATAGTACTTGTTGTGTAATTTATTAATAATGATGTCTCCCCTACTAGGCCATGGATCTGTGAAAACAGGGTCCATGTCTTTCTTGTTTCCTAATGACATTTCAGACTGTAGCATTGGATGCCATGTGTTGTAGCCTTCTGCCACAATTCCATATGAGCTTTATTGCTACACTGAACTCCAAAGCAAGCTGTATCTTATTTATCTTAGTAGCCTTAAGAACTAGCACAGTGTCTGGGGCATAGTAGGCATTCATTAAATTTCTAAATGAATGAATGTCGAGATACCAGGCAGTTAGAGTTGGTTTGTCCCGTCTATCTGTAGTAATGTTCTTAAAAGGGATGATTCTCCCCAAAATCAGTTTGACAAGAAGCCAATGTATTATTTAGCTTTAGAAAGCTACTTCTAGATAACTAGAGAGGCCCTCATTCCACCTTAACCTTCTCATTACCTAATCTTGCCATTTTGTGTGAGGTTAGTGTTAGGATTAGAATATATTCAAGAGAAGATTCCTTTTAACAAGGTCTGAGATGTCTACCTTGAGAATGAAGTAAGCAAAGAAGGATTATTAAGTAATCTTATGCATGTACTTACAGACTTATTGCCAAAGTTTCGTTCAGCCTACTGAATTGTAGAATAAATTAATTTGATGACTTTTTTTTTAAATTAAATTCTCCCTGCCCCCATAGAGAGGCAGTCTACCCTATGAAAATATTTTTATGAAGAATTTCTGGCATAATCGTCAATGTCGTAACATTCAGGTCTCTTAAAATTTACCTACAAAAAGTTAACATATGAAACATCCAGGAAAGCTGTCAGTTTCCAGGCATTTGAAGGATCAGTGCATTAAGGGGGAAAAAAAATCATTAGGATATTAGATCAATGTCTAGATTTTTCTATTTGCCCAGTAACTCAGAAGCTGGCTCTCCTAAGTTGACAGGTCACCTTTGACCAAAAGTTGCTTTGTCAAAGAAATAAATAAATATCTGAAAAAAGTGAGAATAAAGG